ACCCGGAGGAGCCGGATCCTGCCGTGGTGGTGCTGACTGAGCTGACCCAGTGGATTCCTGCCATGGAAAGGGGGAGATCCTGCCCCCCCCTTCCCAGGCTCAGGCAATCTGTTCCCTCCCTCGTGCCAGCTCTGTTGCTCATCAGACCCTCCCACAACCTCCCCCGACCCAGCTGAAAACTCTCCAGCTCTCTGTGCCCCTTCCTTTCCTGGTTGAGCCTGGTCCCAGCAGGAATAGCATCCTGAAGATGCTCATGAAGCCATCTAAGAAGCTGCAGAGCCCATCCCAGGTAAGGAGCAGGACCATGACACCCTAAGTGGGACCTCCCTCTTTCACCATCTGCTTTATCCACCTCTCCACTGGTGGTTTTATACCAGCAGAGCTCATTTATTTCGAGGTGAGGTGAAACAGGATGGGGGTATAAGCTGAAGAAAGCATATTTTCATTATGGAGGAGAGAGGGACTATTTTAATCCCAGGTGTAGGTTAAAGCTCTCTAATACAGAGACAAGTCTTTACCCCAAATCTTACTGAGCGCCATGAAAATCAAACATTTCTTCACATTTTTCCCCTGCTAAGTCTGCCAATTTCTGTGCTAATTATAATTCATCTCTCTGACTTCCACTAGAAGGTCTCAGAGCATTTTTCCAATATTACTGAATTAAACCAACATGGATCCAAGGAAAGGGCTGAGACTTGAGAGGAGGAGAAACTGGAAAGACAAACATGGAGCGAGGTGGCAAAGCGGCGGGTCCTGGATTCTCTCCTCCCCACCCTCAACATCATCCTTCTTCAAGGAACTGGAGGACAAAACCCACCAACCCTGTGATTTTTTTCCCCTGTGCCCACTATTCAGGAGAAGATGCTCCACCAAAAAATATGGGAAAGGTTCTGTTTGTTTAAATAGATCCGTCGGGAAAGGACGGATTCACAGCTGTGTTCAACCCACAGCAGAGGCAGCTGTGGACTTGGGAATGGCAGCCCAGTTAAGCCATGGAGAAGTTGATCCTCCCTGGAATTCCAGGGCCATGGCTGTTAGGTATCATCACACATGGAAAAGGAGAGGGAAGGACATAAGGAAAGGAGAAGGAAAGGAGAGGGAAGGAAAGGAGAGGGAAGGAAAGGAGAGGGAAGGAGAGGGAAGGAAAGGAAAGGAAAGGAAAGGAAAGGAAAGGAAAGGAAAGGAAA